GATGGCAGTTGAGACTGGGCATGGTGGCGCACTCCTGTAATCCCGGCTCTTGGGAGGCTGTAAACAGGGGGATCACTCTTGAGTCAGACCTAGTAGTGAGACCCTGAACACCCTGTAGACCCTTCCCTAAAATACAAAATAATGCCATAGCTCCCCAGGGCCCTTGGGATAAAGTGAGGCTCCTTTGATGTACACTGCGAAGCCCCTGTCCATCTTGTTTTATCTTTTTTCCCCAGTACTAAAGGTTTTGTTTTGCAGAACTGAGGATTGAACTCAGGCCCTAGTGCTTGCCAGGGAAGCGCTTATTCCACTGAGCCATCTCTCCAGCCCCTTTTTCATTTTTTATTTCCTGCTCATTTTTTTTTTTTTCAAACAGAATCAAACTCGGGACTTTTAAACAGGGAATCGAACTCACGCAGGGGCTACACCACTTTGTTTTTGAGACAGGGTCTCACCATAGCCCAGACTGGCTTTGAATTAACAGTGATCTTCCTGCCTTGGCCTCCTGAGTACAGGCCTTCTGGGCCTGCCCTGCCACACCTGGCATCAGTGTTCGACTTTGTTTGTTTCTTTGTTGTATTTTAGGGAAGAGTCTACAGGGTATTAAGGGTCTCACTACTAGATCAGACTCTAGTGATTCACCTGTTTACAGTCTCCCAAGAGCTGGCATTACAGGTGCGCACCACGCCCAGTGTGCCCAGGGGCGGGGCCTGCACTGGCACGGCAGGCCTCGGGATCGAGCCCCTGGCCAGGCACATTAATGTGGTGAGGTATTTGGCCAGCCCTTTTTTTTTTTCTGTGTAGTGTTTGACTCTGAATCCGGAACCTTGCATGTGCTAGGCACACACAAGATAGGATCTGACTAAGTTGCGCAGGCTGGGTTCGGACTTGGAATCCTGCCATAACCTGAATAGCGGGGCTCACAGGTGCTCCCTGGGGGGCCCGCCAGCTGCACCTTGTCTGCGCCACCTCTTCTACATTGCAGCCACGGAAGAATGACTTCCATTAACTCAACTTGAACCAATTGACATGCGGTGCAGTCTGAATTGTGCTCAGTTCTGCCCTTTGCCAACCCGGCTTTTCTTGTGCTTTCCTGAGACCAGTTCTCACTATTTGGCCTCGAACTTGGCCACCCCCCTGCCTCAGCCTCTCAAGTGCTGCAATTACAGGTGTGCCCCCTCACGCCCAGTTTACAGAAGGGGATCTTTTAATCTCAGCTGTAGGGTTGAGGCAGGAAGAGCTAAGTGTGTTTTAGGCCAGCTCAGCCACCTTAAGTCCAGGCTGAACTACACAGCGAGACCCTTTGTCCAAAATAAAAATAAGAGGACAGGGGAGGGGTTGTGGTGTGCTCATCTCCAGTGTGAGAGTCCGAAGTAACAAGCACCAGATCACTACTCCCCAAAGTGTCCTTCGGGCCACAGGTGCATGGAGGCATTCTGAATCCTCCCTGTAATGGCCAGGCCAGCACCCTCCTTTGCGGCTGGTGCCCCACAAGCCATGAGCCAAGGCCAGGGAGATGGCTCAGTGGAATAAGCGCTTCCCTGGCAAGTGC